AAAAATTATCATAGTTTTCATACCATATTTTTTCTATAGCTTAACTTTTAAGAAATATATAGAATAGATATTTTGCATGTTGTTAAATACTTCCTGTCCCAAAATATAAGTGAGAGAATTCTGTTTCTTTAATGTAAAGTTCTAGCTGACACATGAAAACCTCTAGGAGATGCATCTCACTCTTTTCAGTCAACATATTTTTAAATTACTTTTAGAAGACAGAGAAAAGAAAACTAGTAGCTTTAGAAGAACACAAAATAAACTGAATTATAGTATTAAAATTGCTTTAAGTTTGACCAGTCGAGTACAAAATACAATACATTTCAGACTATTCTCTTCATGGGTTATGTCCTTTTTGGGTAATACTCATCAGTTTGCTGTGAAGAACATTTATGTCAATCAGGGAACTCTGTTAAGATGCTTTCAAGTGCAAGTAACAGAACCTAATTAACTGTAGCCTAAAACATGAAGACTTTTAATTATTTCACATAATAATAGCTTTGATTGGAAGCCTCAGTGGTCGTTCCCTGGTTTAATAATGTTATCAATGATCTGGGTTCTATCTGAGTTTCTGTTTTGCCATCCATAATGTGTCAATTGTTTTTTCTCCATGGTCACAAGGTGGCTGCCATATCACCAAGCTTCCTACACCAGCATCTCAACTTTTATTCACTTTCTTATCAAGAAGAAATTTACAAGCCAACTCATACTCAGGAGGTTTGTAAAAGGATATGCTCTTTTTTTATTATTTATTTATTTATTTATTTAAAAACAGGGTTTCACCATGTTGGTCAGGCTGGTCTTGATCCCCCGACCTCAGGTGATCCGCCTGCCTTGGCCTCCAAAGTGCTTGGATTACAGATGTGAGCCACCAAGCCCGGCCTCATTTATTTATTTTTTAAGAAACAGTGTCTCCCCCATCACCCAGGCTGGCATGCAGTGGCATGATCACAGCTTACTACAGTCTTATACTCCTGGGCTCAAACCATCCTCCATCTCAGCCTTGCAAGTAGTTCAGACTACAGGACATGCCACCACTCCTGACAGATTTTTAAATTTTTTGTAGAGATGGGGTCTTGCTATGTTGCCCAGGTTGGTCTTGAACTCTTATCCTCAAGAAATCCTCCAGCCTTAGCCTCTCAGTCACTGGGATTACAAGCATGAGCCACTATGCCTAGATTTGCTCTTATTATTGCTATAACTTCAGCCTTAGCCTCAGCCAGGCCTGGTGATGTGTCTCAACACTGACCATTCACTGACAGAGGACTGGAATTGCTTTGCCTACACTGACTGTTAAATGACAAAGAGACTGATCGCCTTGAGAGGCTTAGACCAGTCTTGTACTTTGTATCTCAAGGACCAGGCACATTGCCCTCCACACAATATCAGGTAAAGTTTATCTGTTAGCAAAGTAGGTGGATTGGGTTGGCTACAAGGTATCTTTGACCATGCTGGCACAAGAATATATACGCTCAGAAGAAAGAACAATTTCAGGTTGCAATAAAAATCATCTTGGCACTTTTTATATGTTCTTATGTAGCACTTTTTGTATATTCTTCACAAATGGAAAGGTCTTCTTAAAAAGTAGAAACATTGAGGCCAGGTGCAGGGGCTCACACCTGTAATCTCAGCACTTTGGGAGGCTAAGGTGGGTAAATCACAAGGTCAGGAGTTCAAGACTAGCCTGGCCAACATGGTGAAACCCCATCTCTGCTAAAAATTAAAAAATTAGCCGGACGTCGTGATGCGTACCTGTAGTTCCAGCCACTAGAGAGGCTGAGGCAGAAGAATCACTTGAACCTGGGAGACAGAGGTTGCAGTAGCCATGATCACGCCACTGTACTCTAGCATGGGCAATAGAATGAGACTGTCTCAAAAAATAATAAGTAGGATTTCCGCCAAGATAGCCAAATAGAAACAGCTCTGATGCGCAGCTCCCAGTGAGAGAGATGCAGAAAGCGAGCAATCTCCGCATCTCCAACTGAGGTACCAGGTTCATTTCAATGGGACTGGTTGGACAATGGGCATAGCCCAAAGAGGGCAAACCGAGGCAGGGCAGGGCACTGCCCCATCCGGGAAGTGCATCTGACTGGAGGACCGGGGTCTTACCACCGCCGGCACTCCGGTCCAGATAATGCACTTCTCCAAAAGCCTCTGCAACCCACAGACCAAGAGATCTTCGCCAGGCTGAAAAGCGCGGCAAGTTACCTGCACAGAGTTAATAGCAGCCACTGCCGGTGTCGCGGATTGTTGGCACGGATTTAGGCAGACTCATGACTGGCCGGGAGAGCCTGCGGGACAGAGCTACCAGCCCCCAGTAGAGAGGGAGAGCTAAAAGCAGGGAGAGAGGTGATGTGGCTAGGCTGGTCCCTCCCCCACAAAGCCCAGCAGGCTGAAGCCCTCCCGCTTGAGAGTGGTTTTCCAGCCAGCACAGTAGGTCAAGCTTAACCTGGAACCATAGAGTTTGGTGGGGCAAAGGGCATCCACCATTACAGAGGCAGGCCTAACCACCCTGTGAAAACGAAAGACACAGGAAGCCTACACAGCAGCAGAACTGAGTCTGTGGCAGCCCAGCAGCACCTCTGCAGGCAGACAAGGGACAAACTGCCTCTTCAAGGGGCTCCCTGAGATCAAAGCTAGATAAACCCATGAAGATGGGAAGAAACCAGCGCAAAAAAGACCATCAAAGACCAAAAGGCCTCTCCTTCTCCAAGGGATCACAACTCCTCACCAGCAAGGGAATAAAACAGGATAGAGAATGAGTTATATATAATAAGTATCCTGTTGAGTTCATTGCACTCAATAAGAATAATTAGGTTGTTCATTCAGTGCATTATATTCTTGGGATGGGTTTAGATGCATCAAAATCTAAATATGCCAACTTTGGAGCAAAAGTAAAAATGTAGATAAAGGTTGTGGTATATAATGTGATGGGTTTCTTGTGCTTTACATGTATTTTGTTGTTGTAGAATTTGCATCTGTGACTAATAGGTCTTATAGAAGAAAAGCAAATTTATTTTAGTGAAGGTGTGTTGACATTTTAGGAATGTCAGCTTCGTGCATCAAGAAACCTAAGGTCAACAGAAAGCTTGATAAGTCTAGTCTGATTCGGTAGGGCCACAGGCAAAAAGAGTTACCATTTAAAAAAAAAAAAGTACGCTCAAAAGTAAAATCATTATTATGAGAATATATATTTAAAGTGACTGAAGGCCAGGCACGGTGGCTCACACCTGTAATTTCAGCACTTGGGTAGGCTGACACAGGCAGATGACTTGAGGTCAGGAGTTCAAGACCAGCGTGGCCAACATGGTGAAACCCCATCTCTAATGAAAATACAAAAATCAGCTGGGCATATGACGGTATGGGCCTGTAATTTCAGGCACTTGGGAGGCTGAGGTAGGAGAATTGCTTGAGCTGGGGAGGCAGAGGTTGCAGTGAGCCAAGATTGAGCCGCTGCACTCCAGCCTGAACAACAGAGTAAGACTCTGTTTCCCAAAAAAAAAGACTCTGGCTTTCTTTACATACTATTTTAAAATCTTTTTCTTTTAAAAAAAATTTTTTTAAATTTCTAATTTTTGTGGGTAAATCTTTTTTAAAATTTACATTGAAGGTAATGCTATTTTTTTCATCCAACAAGTTATTTATTTTGCTTTCTTTATTTTTTTTAACTTTTAAGCTTGAGGGTACCTGTGAAGGTTTGTTACATGGGTAAGCATATGTCATGGGGGTTTGTTGTACATATTATTTCATTACTCAGGCATTAAGCCCAGTACCCAATAGTTTTCTGTTCCTCTCCCTCCTTCCCACCTCCTCCATCAAGTAGACCTCTGTGTTGTTTCTTCATATTCATAAGTTCTTATCATTTAGCTCCCAAGGTGATACTATTTTATCTTATTTCTTGCCAGAGCATCTAACAGTAGAACGAATCAGTTGATCAAGGAATTTATTACAGTTGAGGAAATGTTGGCAAAATGCAGCCATAGGCTGAGTGACATGGGTCTGTTTAATAACAGGGCAAAGTAAAGGTGGCCTTTTGCAGATCTAGAAATCAGGTAAAGGAAACCATTCTTATCAGGTCTAATAAAATTTTAGATGATAGTCTGAATCTTTCAAAATGTATCAGACCTGGATGTTCTAGGATGAGAATGGCTGGTTGTGGGTATCATTAGGGGCATAAACAAAACTTGGAACAGTTGTTGCCATCCTGAGACTAGCAGTCAGAGAACAAATTCGTCTGCTGGGATCACATCGGATCTGCTTCCCATTACTACCTGCTTCCGTGCCTTGACAACCTGAGTTCACATTTCTCTCTGTTCATTCTCATGCTTGACTAAGTCACACCCAGCAATTTGTTCTGTCTGGGAGAAGCAGGTCATAGTTGCTGTTTGAATACACAAGATAGGCAGATCAAGTCAATGGATGAAATAGTATGCTATTATGGCAATACATGGCATGCTTTTTGTCTTTATTACACAAACCTGTGGGTTTACCTAGCACAAGACAAATGGGAAGCTGTCAATCACTGGAACATAAGCATATGAGAATCCACGTAGGCATACATCAGTGTGTCTCTCCTTCTATATTCTTTCTTGTGCTTTGAACTTGAAGACAAGCAGATTTGGGAGGTCCAGGAGTATTGTTGTTTACCTTTTTCCCCTGCATGTGAGACTCAGATGAAAGTTTCCATATTCCAGAGGTATATGTCCATTGTTTCACTGTAACAAGAATTAAAAGCTCTTTGCAGAGTTTACAGTAAAAAACATCACCAAGAATTTTAAGTACTTTGGGCTAATGCAGTTATTTATTTTTGTAAACATATATTTTAAACCAAGCAAAACCAGATCTCAAAAAAGACATTTCTTAGGAAGAAAGGTATTCACTTAACTAAGCAACCAGTGTCAAATGTGGATGCTATCCTGGAAAGCTCTTCTTTTTCAGTGTCTAATCCATGTACCTGGGATGGATTAGTACTGTCTACCTCGAAACCTTGTACTTTGTAGGAGGTCCAGGCAAGTCTCATTACTTGCAGTAGTTATGCTTTATAAAGTTGCTGGGAGCACTGCATTAGCAAACACCAAATCATTGCTCCCAGGTGAAATACAAAAATTAAATTCCTACAAGTTTCTGGTCACAACATCTTCAACAATTGATCAATACATGACTTTGTTTTAAGTGTGCTTCTGTTAAAGACATCTTTTGTGTGTGAGTAGAAAAACTCAAAGCTGTTTTTCCTCTGCTCTCATACCACCACCAAAGCAAGCAATCAATTCTGCAGCAGACATCCACTGGGTATCCTCCAATTCAATTTTGATGCTAGCTACTTGGAGATAGGGACAGATCCCGCAGGTTGAGGGTCCAATCCCCAAGACTCCCTGCTCTCCCTAGCTGCACGTCTGGCTCTCTGGAACTTCTGACCTCTGATTGGCTTCAAGTTGGGATTCTCCATCTTTGGGTTCCACTAATTTGCTAGAGAGGCTTGCAGAACTCAGGGAAACACCTTTATCGGTTTATTATAAAGGATATTGTAAGTCTGGGCACAGTGACTTACAACTGTAATCTCAGCACTGTGGGGACCAAGGCTGGAGGATTGCTTGAGCCCAGAAATTTGAGACCAGTCTGGGCAATATAGTGAGACCTTGTCTCTACAAAAAGATTAAAAATTAGCCAAGTGTGGTGACATGTACCTGTAGTCCCAGTTACTTGGGAGGCTGGGTGGGAGGCTTGAGGACAGGAGGCAGAGGCTGCAGTGAGCCGAGATAGTGCCACTGTCCTCCAGCCTGTGCAACAGAGCAAGAGACCCTGTCTCAAAAAAAAAAGAGGATATTATACAGGATGCAGATGGAAAGATACATAGGGCAATGTATGAGAAAAGAGGCTTGGAACTTCCATGTCCTCCCTAGGTGCACCACCTTCCAGGAAACTCCAGATGGTCAGCTATATGGAAGTTCTCCAAACCCAATCTTGAGCTTCTTATGAAGATTTCAGTATATAGTATGATTAACAACTATGCAGAAATGTGATTGGATAAAAAAGGTATCGTCTAATACTCTCTTTTTTTTTTTTTGAGATGGAGTTTTGCTCTTGTTGCCCAGCCTGGAGTGCAGTGGTGTGATCTCAGCTCACTGCCACCTCTGCCTTCCAGGCTTAAGTGATTCTCCTGCTTCAGCCTCCCAAGCAGCTGGGAATGCAGGCATGCACCACCGTGCCTGGCTAATTTTGTATGTTTAGTAGACGTGGGATTTCACCATATTGGTCAGACTGGTCTCAAACTCCCAACCTCAGGAGATCCATCTGCTTTAGCTGCTCAAAGTGCTAGGATTACAGTCATGAGCCACCACACTTGGCCGATCTAATATTCATTTACTGAGCGGGAAACCCAGCAAGGCCTGCCTGTCCAGATTCTCCTTGACCTCTGTGCAACATTCCTTTCTCCAGGATAAGGGGCAGGATCCCTTCTGAACTGAGGATCTCATGACTCAATCAGAAAGGCCGGGGATGATTAGAGTCTTGCCTTGGGCTGGGGAAACCAGAGCAAGGGAAGATCAGAGAGAGAGATTTCAGTTTCTGCACCTGCTTCTGGGCCTAAAGTGCCCCAACGTTATAACAAAAGACTGCAACAAGGGCTGTGGGAGTTGTGAGCCAGGAGCTGTAGATGAAACCTATAGATTTAATATCACACATCTTATTTAACATATTGTTGATTTGTTAACATTGAGCTTGCAGTCAATATCACTTGAACTCATATCTTAGCTAATCTAACACGTGTTTTTTTGTAAGGCACATCGTAATCTTGTAGTTGAGGATACTCCACAGCATTTCAGCACTGGAGGCCAATTTAAATGGGAAATCATGAAAAAGCACAAAAATGTAAGAAAGGTAGCACTAAGTAGACTGCAAAAAACATGTGCTTACAGAATGAGAGTCCAAAAAAGAAGCAGCATCACCTGGTTTTAGCCTCATCTGGGGACGTGCGCATTCAGCAGCTCAAAGTTTTCACCACTCTGTGCATGACCACAAATGACTGTAAAGTACTATGAGTATTGATTTGGAGGTTACAAATTACTTTTAGTGAGTATGCTAAAAAAGTATGAATTCTTAGTAGTAAAGATCAGCTATATTATGTTGTAGAGGTAACATGCAAAGTTCAAGCCTTTATCTTGTTTTGGATAATCCAAATTTATAATGGCAGCAGCACACAAGTTATACTTAGCAGTAAAAAATCACAAAATGCTAAGAAGGTAACTTACTTTTCATTTAGAGAACTTGTCTTTTCAAATTTAAATCAAAAAGCATGTTCTTAAGCCTGGAGATTTAAACAAAATACATAAATTTAATAAATATAGAAAACAAAATATAGGTTGGGTGCGATGGCTCATGCTTGTAATCCCAGCACTTTGGGAGGCCGAAGTGGGTGGATCACCTGAGGTTAGGAGTTTGAGACAAGCCTGGCCAAAGCAGTGAAACCCCATCTCTTCTAAAAATACAAAAATTAGCCAGGTCAGGTGGTGGGCACCTGTAGTCCCAGCTACTTGGAAGGCTGAAGCAGGAGAATCGCTTGAATCTGGGAGGCAGAGGTTGCAGTGAATTGAGATTGCGCCATTGCATTCCAGCCTGGGTGACAAGAGTGAAACTCCATCTCAAAAAAAAAGAAAGAAAATGAAACAAAATATAAAATGAATATAAGCATAAATTCATAAAAATTTTATTGAAAGAAAAATTAGCTCAAAAATTTGTTTTTGAAGAGGGAATCCCTCCCAGATCATTTTATGAGACCAACATCATACTGATACCAAAACCCAGCAGAGAACTCAACAAAAAAAGAAAACTTCAGGCCACTATCCATGAAAAACATAGACGCAAAAATATTCAATAAAATGCTGGCAAACTGATTGCAACAGCACATCAAAAAGCTTATCCATCACAATCAAGTAGCCTTCATCCCAGAAATGCAAGGCTGGTTCGACATATGCAAATCTGTATACGTAATCCACCATATAAACAGAACCAAAGACAAAAACACATGATTATCTCAATAGATGCACAGAAGACCTACGACAAAATTCAACAGCCCTTTATGCTAAAAGCTCTCAATAAACTAGGTATCAAAGGAGCATATCTCAAAACAATAAAAGCTATTTACAACAAACCTACAGCCAATATCATACTGAATGGGCAAAAACTGGAAGCATTCCCTTTGAAATAGGGCACTAGACAAGGATGCCCTTTCTCACCACTCCTATGCAATATTGTATTGGAAGTTCTAGCCAGAGCAATTAGGAAAGAAATAAAAAAATAAAGGATATTCAATTAGGAAAAGAGGAAGTCAAATTGTCTCTATTTACAGATGACATGATTGTGTATTTAGAAGACCCTATCATCTCAGTCCAAAATCTACTTATACTGATAATTAACTTCAGCAAAGTCTCAGGATACAAAATCAATGTGCAAAAATCACAAGCATTTCTATACACCAATAACAGACTAGCAGCCAAATCATGAGCAAACTCCCATTCACAATTGCTACAAAGAGAATAAAATACCTAGGAATACAACTAACAAAGGATATAAAGGACCTCTTCAAGGAGAACTACAAACCACTGCTCAAGGAAGTAAGAGAGGACACAAACAGATGGAGAAACATTCCATGCTCATGGTTAGGAAGAATCAATATCATAAAAATGGCCATACTGCCCAAAGTAATTTATAGATTCAATGCTATCCCCATCAAGCTACCATTGACCTTCTTCACAGAACTGGAAAAAAACCACCTTAAACTTCATGTGGAACCAAAAGAGAACCTGCATAGCCAAGACAATCCTAAGCAAAAAGAACAAAGCCAGAGGCATCATGCTACCTGAATTCACACTATATTTCAAGGCTACATTAATCAAAACAGCATGGTACTGGTACCAAAACAGAGATATAGACCAATGGAACAGAACAGAGGCCCTGGAGGCAACGCCACAGATCTACAACCATCTGATCTTTGACAAACCTCACAAAAACAAGCAATGGGGAAAGGATTCCGTTTAATAAATGGTGTTGGGAAAACTGGCTAGCAGTGTGTAGAAGGCAGAAACTGCACCCCTACCTGACACCTTACACTAAAATTAACTCCAGATGGATTAAAGACTTAAATATAAGACCTAACACCATAAAAAACCCTAGAAGAAAACCTAGGCAAAACCATTCAGGACATAGGCATAGGCAAGGACTTCATGACTAAAACACCAAAAGCATTGGCAACAAAAGCCAAAATAGACAAATGGGACCTAATCAAACTCTGGAGCTTCTGTACAGCAAAAGAAACAATCATTAGAGTGAACTGGCAACCAAGAGAATAGGAAAAAATTTTTGCAATCTACCCATCTGACAAAGGGCTAATATCAAGAATCTACAAAGAACTAAAACAGATTTACAAGAAAAAACCAAACAAACCCATTCAAAAGTGAGCAAATGATATGAACAGACACTTTTCTAAAGAAGACATATATAAGGCCAATGAACATATGAAAAAATGCTCATCATCACTGATTATTAGAGAAATACAAATCAAAACCACATTGAGATACCACCTCATTCTAGTTAGAATGGCAATCATTAAAAAATCTGGGGACAACAGATGCTGGAGAGGATGTGAAGAAATAGGAACAGTTTTACACTGTTGGTGGGAGTGTAAACTAGTTCAGCCATTGTGGAAGACAGTGTGGCACTTCCTCAAGGACCTAGAAATGGAAATTCCATTTGACCCAGCAATCCCACTGCTGGGTATATACCCAAAGGAGTATAAATCATTCTATTATAAAGGCACATGTACACGTATGTTCATAGTGGCACTGTTTACAATAGCAAAGACCTGGAACCAACTCAAATGCCCATCGATAATAGACTGGACAAGGAAAATGTGGCACATATACACCATGGAATACTATGCAGCCATGAAAAATGATGCATTTGTGTCCTTTGTAGGGACATGGATGAATCTGGAAACCATAATTCTCAGCAAACTGACAC